GATTTACCAACACTAGAAATTTGCACATGGATGTTTTTATCTTCCACTGGTCAACTCCCTAGTTGCTTTAAACGCGTATTCGCGAATAATAATAACCGAAATAGCAGGAGTCACGACAGATTTTTTGTTCCGTATGTTAGAACATCAATAGCACAAAAATAGATCACATTATTTGGACCTAAAGTATGGAATCCATTGCCTAATAGTATTAAAAGCTCGAAAACGACGTCCGAATTTAGATCCAAGCTCAAGACCCATTTATTGGAATTCTATTAGATTTAGCGAGTTAAGGACAGCCTACTTTTCAGACACTATTTTTCAGATACAAAGGGTACATAGAAGATGAGAAAAGCACTTCAAAGATTAAAAATACCCCAAATTGACTAACAACGTCATCATGCAACAAACCTCCATTGATCGGAAAACAAGTTTCGGGACCCCCACGGATCTTTTGTCTCTCTTTCCCGCATAGTTTTATTGTTTATTTACTTCCTTCGCTGGATCGTCAATTATGCAAACTAGATCATTCAATAAAAATTTATAATTATCATGCTGAGACATGGCGACAATAAATTTCACACAATAGCGCTTATGAAAGTGGCCGCATTTTATGCCAGACTCTCTATTGTTCCCATATCTTTGGTCCAGTGCAAACTATGATTAACAACTCAAGTTTAAACAAAGGTTTTCTACATTTATCTTTTACAATTTTTTTCTCGTGTCGTGGCTCCATCCAACTTTGGTTTCTGGCAAGTTTATATCCCGAACAAATCTTTACGTGTTTCGTGAGACTTGTTAGTGTAAAAACATATGAATTCAGCAACCCATACCCTATCTCCATATTTTCACACCGGAACCTGGGATATGGACATGCCATAAACTAGTAGTGAATAGTACATAAATAAATAATAGTACATGTAGCACATCTGTGTCTTAGGCCAGTAAGGTCTTGAACATGTATCCCGTCTCTGTTCTACTGTTTAATTATTATGCAGAGACTGTTACATTTTTGAGGAAAATAAACATACATACATACAACCAGGGGTCGGCAACGCCCGCTGGCCAAAATTAAGGGTTGCAAGTCATTGGAGGGATGCACATATTTTTGGAAAGTGAAAAAACGAACGGATAGGCGACAAATCACACATATCAAAGTTTTTTTCACACATATCAAAAGTTAAATTTTAAAAAGCGCGCGAAGACGGTGTGGTGTGTCTCATCGTGTCAAGCCTTAGGAATACGCTCGCAACCTCACCTCTGATTACCCTGCGTGGGTTTGCAGGTTCAAATCCCATGCGGGGTTGGTTACGAGCAAGAGGATTGCTGGACTCCTCGCCGCCGTATGGTGGTTCACGTTCTCAACCTTTTACTTACTTCGTATCACTTTAGTGTTTTTTAGTCCGGCCGCGTACCACCGACAAAGTCCCCTTGTTTAGGGTGGGGGAAAATGCACAAGGAACGTGCCATGTCAGTATTTTATATTATGGCCCTACATCCATTTTAAGAGAATCGTGCAAAGTTTAAACTCCTTAATCATATGCAGTAACAACGAGTTGATTGCGTGCAAAATAGCGAGAGCATTTACGTCGTCTACCGTCAGAACTGAAAGGCCCTAATCCTCACAAAACTTGAACGAATACACTTTGATCGGCGCTTGCCGCTATCAGGAACTGATTGCCTAACCGAGTCTCTAATTTAATTACCCTAAAACTTAAGATTATGCTGATCAGTCAACATATACATCAGGTATCAATAGTAAGGTCAAGGCGCTATCAAGGTATCGATTTCTCAATGCAGATGCATTGTGGACGTGACACGTAAACGGGCCACATCATGCTAGTTTCGTTTAAGGTGGCCAGTAGCAAGCGAAGGCGATCTGTAAGTGCAGGGACTGGTATAAACCGTTCGGCGAATACATACAGTATTGAAGATAAAGAAAAGCGTTGCCGCGCCATATTTGGGTCTGGTCGGTTACGGCTTCCCCTATCATGAAGTCCACGCTTCTAAAAATAATTAACCCATCCCATACCCAACGTGGTTCGCAATATGGTTAAGTCGTCTTATCACTTTCGGCTCCCCTGGGATAACGAGTATTTGTGAATTATATACTGGTTGTGTTATAATATAATTTAGTCTACAAGTGTCTGACAATAAATTCTGTTACGTAATGAGTATAATCGTCAAAACAGCTGTTTTGTTACTATAATTCAGTGAAGCTTCGCGGGCCGGATTATAGTACTCCACGAGCCGTAAGTTGCCGACTCCTGTAATAAATCAACACTACTATTTAATGCAAGCCTATATATACATTTTTCGTTGAGGGAATACGAAAATGATTCATGTTTGACTTCAGTATTTTTTATGTAACATTAGGTTTCCTCGCGGCCACATAATTTTAGTAGTTTGCAAAAAAGTTGCCCTGTTGTTCTTTTAATTAGTGTTTTCACATCTTAAATTGTTTTCAGATGTATTGTCCGATTTTCTATCGTGCCTGTTAATTTATTGTGTGCTTTAACTGTTTTGGTCAACTTGTGCGTTTTCAACGCTTTCTTGAGTGTTGCTCGTCTTCCAGTTCCGCTGTGTTTTGTTTGTCCTTTTAGTTTGTTTTATACCAAAATAAAATTGATTGAAATTCATACCGTGAAAAGATAAGTCCAGCGGTTTATAACAACTTCAAACCTATTTAGTGTTTCAGCGATAATATTTAATTGTTGCATTGAAATACGGTTTGTTTTTCTTTTTCATTTCTCTCACAAGCGCCGACAATAATACTATTGAATGATTTTGGCAATGGGAGAAACATATTAAATTGTAACAAAAAAGAATTGGTTTGTGCAAAAGTGAGTATACCTGTGATAATCATAAAGGCGTAATATGGAACGCAGAGGGCGAGCAAAACCGAAGGGCGTGATCGGCGGCGTTTGAAGCCACGTATTACCCGCGCATCTTTTACAATAACGTGAGGTGCTCTCGTGTACATTATTAACCACTTGTTCGCGCTCGACTATCGCACTTTTCGAAAATGATAAGTTTCAAATGCGGAAGCAACTCGTGTTTAAATATAGACGAAATTATTGGGAGGCGAATGCCCCCCTCGCCCGCTTTAAGAGCGTGTCTCTCTCCGATATATAAAAGAACGTCTTCCTCACATTCGTCCACAAATTGCAGCAGTAGTAAAGAAGCGCCAGGCATAACAATCATACTGAGTACTGACATTCACCATTATTAATCTATATCTGTTACTAAATACTGGGTATAAATGTTGTATTTACATGAATAAAATTCCCTTTATCTGATCTTCTTTGTTTATTATTGGACACGTTTAGTGGACATAACTATCGTTTCAATATTATGTTGTTATTGTTATTTGTCTCCATCATTTTAAAAAAATCACTTTTCTCTTCGAATACTTTGAAATTTTCAGTGGTTGAAGATAAAATTTTTCTCCAGAAGACTATTACTTTTTTTCTCTCGCTATGACGTCATCAAAATTATTGCCATTGGGTGGCGCTACGTGTCCATATATTTGAGCATAGCTCTCTTGTTATTTTATAGCAAACTGGTTTTATGAGAGAGAAATGTTGTTGTTTTGTGATAGGTTTGCTGTGGATATTTAATTGAAGTGCTCAAAAACGTGCCGCGATATAAAAAAGGTTGGGAGCCACTGTGCTAGACCAATAAAACGTCCATTAGAAGGGAGTATATCTTGTCATTCCTTATCTGAGTATAAGTGGTTTCACCATCCTCACAAAGGTCTGACAAGTCATTTTCAGATTTTACCAGCCAAAGTAAAGCATCCCATATGGGTGTTACCCGGGTTAATCATCTTGTGTGTTGCAAATTTTCAAAACAAATTATATGCCGAAGATTGTGAAATGAGGACTCGAACTAACAAATATATTCCACCACACATTTTTTGTCGAGAAAATCCACCTCTCAAATTAATTTAAAAAAGATTCGTCTTAACCACAGAGACGTTATTACTTGAGAAATAGTCATATTCTACCAGATCATGGAAATCCCGTAATACCAAACTTGAACTATTAATTATTATGTTTATATACTGTAAAACAGAAACTGTGAAAAGAATACAATCATGATTGAATGAAAATTTACGATCAAAATGAAGGAATAGCAGTAAAAAAAATACAGCGATGCAAATATGAAATTAAAAAAGTACATAGTTTTATTATTATATGAAATTTAGGTACTCCAGTAGTGTGTGTTCCAGGTTAGAGTTAGGCCATAATTCTCATTCAGATTTTTTTTATTCAAGTTCTATTACGAGTTCGGGGACTGTCTGTGTTAGCCAAGTGAATAAACTCCCTTTCCAATATATTTCAGTCCCTTTACACAACTTGAAGTAAAGTAGACAAACAATATTAGTTACTTCCATATTGGTACACTACACACACTTCTGGAGCACCGAAGTTTATATAAAAAAACAATTATTGAAAACATACAATAGAAATGAAGTCAATAGAATGCATAATCAAATGGTAGATTGTAGCATTTTATCAATTTACCACATACTAGCTAAATATGGCAATAGCTCTGCAAACCAACTTTTTAAATGTACAGACTTGCACAATAAAGGAATCCACAGCCAATCAGTTACCAGGCTAAATAGGATATGAAAGTTGATGTTCGGAGGGTGACCAGGTATTAAGTCGGCCACTCACAGGATATCTAACATCCAACCATCTTAACAGATACAGAATTACAAGCTCAAGTAATATGATTAGCAATGCTGTGTCAACCATTCTGCCTATTGTGAGACATTTACAAAAGTTTGACGATCATTTGGAACATGGGTGTGTAACCTGCAGCGGAACGGGGGCCAAATGTGGCCCACAAAGAGAAGTGCCCATTCTGAATGGTGTGTGGCCCTTGAAACAAGTTTTTTCAATTCAATTTATTCTAGTATGAGCAAATATTTCCAATACCTTTGCAACGCTTATACCTGAGCTTGTGTATGTCAGAGGATCAATGATCAAATATTTATGTCTGCGACTACTAGGAAGCCTATGTTAAAGAAAAAAAGGTGCGGCCCCACGATTTCACCCAGTTATTCATATCTGGCCTCCTGTATTAAAGGTTGCACACACCTGGTTTAGAAGTTTTCAGGAGTTCAAAATGAGTATAACCTGAAACAAAGAAATTTTAAAACTAGGAATCGGTGCGAGATACCCAACACTGTTCAATCTAAGTATTCTGCACTTTAGAAACAAATTTTGGCGCTCCCGTAGTATGTGAACCAACATGGCGGACACCGGAACATAGTATGTGTACCAGGATAGGGTGAGGACCTGATTTAATCCCAATTTAATTCTATTACGGTTGACGGAGACAAGCCAAGTGACTCCCGCAGTGTTTGTACCCAAAATTATGGCCTAACCCTAACATGGTAAACATACTACGTTCCGGTGTCCGCCATCTTGGTTCACATACAACAAGAGTACTCAAATTTTTATACATGAAATCGAAAGGAAAAAGAAATGAATATTTTCTACAGTGGCTCAATTAAATTTAAGAATAAATGTACAACATAATCCTGTGTAAAATGAAGAAATGACAAATTGATATCTAAAGTGGGATATAATGATGAAATAAATTCCTAAAAATATTAAAATTAAATTAAATGAATTAATATGAATTAAAAAATGCTGGTGAGTGCAGTATTTGTCTATTTCATAATATATTGGTCGGGGTTCATGGGTTCACCATATGATAAAGCAGTCTTATCGGCTTCCCTCTTTTCCCAGGATAAATATGTAAATCCAATCCATTGAATACATTAGAAAAAATATTTATCAATGACATATTTGAAATAATTAATTAACCATATTAATCAAATATTAGCAAATCGATTAACTATTACTTTGATTTAATGCAAGTTTTGTGTTCACTCTACAACTTCTAAAATCGAAATCTCAAGACTAAAACAAGTATTATACACGATGGTCGCTAGAAAAGCAGAAAATGTGAAAGTCAGATGATATACAAATAAAATGTGTGCTCCGTGCTTATTTCTTTTTTGATAAATTATTATAGTATTTCTTTTAGGTTCTAGATTGATGCTATTTAGGTTCTACTCTAGGTTAAGGCACCGACGATATTTTGAGAATCTATGACCATAATATTTATATAACATATGCCTCTGATAAAACTTTGTAAAAATTATTCTATGTAAAAATAATTAGCTGTTTGACAAATTTTCATTTTTTTTTCCGGTCCTAACTTCCATAATTCCTCAGAACAAAGGTATGGCCAAAGCTACGATATTTGCTAATTCAAACTTATTTTGAAATAATATTTAAAGCATATCCAGTCATCTGTGTCAAAAACAAAATAACATGTCCATCTTCCACATCAATCCAAGTTTCCTTTGAAAGAACAAAGAGAGTTTGGATCCAATTGCTTTACTTGACCTAGTCCTTTTTTTCCACAAGTATTGTACTTCGGAAGATTTGCAACAACTACCCATGAGTTTGAAAGTTCATGATAAACATAAATTCCACCAGATGCAAAAAGAATTAAATTTTCACCGGTAGTGAATAGCCAACCTTGTGACGAATTTAGATCGACAGGAATATTTTTTATGTCTTCCCATGCCCCTAAAATATTATAACGACTAGTCTTAACATATGTTTCACTCCATCTGTCAGTTTGATGTGACAAACCAACAATATAAGATGTACTTTGATGATAGGCCGCAGATGAAAACTTGGAAATTTTTTGAAAATCTTTCGTTTTTGACCAAGTTTTTGACTGAGTGTTAAAATCTTGACATTGTTTGTTTCCATTAATGACCAATATATCATTATCCTGACGAACAACACAGAAATCATGACGAATATCCAGATCTGTGGTCGGCAATGTCTCATCCCATTTATTAGTATCGGAATCATAACAACACATTAGGTTAGGCCCTACTATATAAGCCCTGTCATCGATTGTGACTATTTTCGCATTTCTTGGACAGCGATCCGTGAGCTGGGCTCTTTCTACCCATTTTACATCTTTCTCTGAAAAATACCACAATTTACCGTCTGTGAAGAGACATAACCTGTCATGCAATGAAAAAATTTGCATAAAATTACCCTTCGGTGCATCAGGTAAATAATGCCATGACTTATACTTTAAATCCTTTGCAAAAATTTTACCATCTGGGTAGAGAACAGCTATGTATGACGCATCATTCGACTTTAATATCTGAGAATTGACAGCATCAATGAAAATCTTGACACATTCTTGACTTTCAGTCAAAAGTGTTTCATTTCTAACTGATGTCGCTATGAAGCTTTTGTCCAAGCGGTCAAATCGAATCGCTTCCATTAGTTTTGGAAACAAAGTTCTTCTGGTTGGATCATGTTTGCACCACTTGACAGCAATCTTCCAAAACAATTCTTCACTGCAAAGACATGAAGTGTCATGATCCAAAAACGCGGCAAAGAACTCATCTTTTGTCAAAGACAATGACTGGTCAACTTCAAATAATTGTACAATGTTCATCTTCAAATACTCATCAATGATATTTTTACCTTGTTTAGTTACATCTTGATAAGCAATACACATACTTCTGATAAGAAAAAAATTATCAACATCAAGAAAGTGTTTCAACTCATCCAAATCTGAAAAAATGCGTCGAAAAAGAAATTTTTTGCAAGGCTTCGAATTTTGGAAGATCGGTTCTGACCACAAATTCTTCAAAAGTGCTGATGTACCGGTAGGTAAATATTTCCAATCTAATAGTTTCACAAATTCAAAAATATCTTTGCTTCGTTCTTTAACATTGAGTTTGATCCAATTTATAATAACTTCCCAGGCCAATTCATTTCTCAACCTAAAATCAGAGATACGTTCCACAAAGTCTGATTTCTCAAGTTCAGCAAAATCTCCAAACTCTTCAAATTTATAATTTTCTCTGAAAAGTTCCAAAGCGTTTCCCTCAAGGTCAGCAAAACTATGCGTTCTTGCCAACTTTAACACAGAAATACAGTTTTCAGCTTTCAAGTTTTCCTCTAATACTCCAACACAATTTTTAATGAGAACATCGAGTTGCATTATTCTAGCTGCAGTCAGAAGATTTGGCATAGTTTCCATGGTAACAGTTGTGGCACCAGTATAGATAAATTCAATGCAAAATTTCACACCGTCTGGTTCAACTTCCTTCATATGTACGACACCCTGTTGTCGTTCTTTAGTATCATGAGTCAACATAGCTTGAAAATAATCAGAGGCAATGATAAGTCTATTTTTATGAACTGGAAACGATTCCTTACCGACTTTAATTGTAAAATCGCTCTCCTCTGAAGTGTCATGGCACGCTTCTTCATCCAACTTTGCTCTTTTTGCCTCCATCTTCAGATATTAGAACCTAAGTTAAGTAGGGTATTGCTAAGTTGCTGCCTGTGTATAAGATTGTGCAGTTTAAGGCTGATTATGGAGTCGAAATAAACCTTTACTTATAACAGGTTTATGTCTACTATACTTCTAGAATATTCCGAAATTCTCAATATACAGGTAGGCTATCGGGTCTAGTATAGTTTAGTACCACAAGTACTTCCAGTGGGCGTAGCATAACGATTTTTGCATATGTTATTCCCAACCCTCACCTGACTATGCGATCCAAAAATTACGTCACTACGACGTCACCATCACGTCATAGGGATTGCCAAAGTATAATTACGATTGCCCGAAATGGCATCTGCGCCGACGATAAGAACTTGCTAATGCCGGCGATCTCTCTCCTATCGTGATCGTTGCGACGAGAAAACAAGAGAAATAGCTTGCTCGATTTCAGGTTATCTTCTGCGCGTTTCGGACGACGATCCGCATACTTCGGTGGGCTTTATTACGCCACTGTGACGTCGGAATGACGTAATTTTTCGGTGACATAGGGGTTAGGATTGATGTATGCATGGGGATGATAGGGTTTAGGATTGACATATGCAAAAATTGTTGAGCCAGGCCAACTAGAAGTGGATGTGGTACTAAACTATACCAGACGTATCGGCACTGATGTAAAACGTCTGAGCGTGGAATTTCTGCAGTTCCTAAGTGAACGAACATGCACAGAAGGTCAGACAGCACCGTAACATGCCACATAATCCACATACAGAACATAATCCACATACAGACATAGACTACCGGTACCCGGTACTGTACCGTAAGTATGGCACCGTACATATAAAAAAACATCTAGTCTACTACTGGTACCGGTACCGGTATCTGACTTTGCTACTTAAATAAACTTTCAAATATGCAGTAGAGTAATACTTGCATGGACAGCGACACAGATAAGCCCAGTCTGGATTTCATGGTCTTTTTCCTAGCGAAATCAGATTTACAAACAAAGCAAAAAAATTCCAGCGTGCTGTCATTGACTACAGGGGTGGTGACTCCTTTGAGGCCCATGGGCCGGGGCCACGGCCCATCTAAATGGGCCTTGGCCCATCAAGCTATGGGCCGCGGCCCATCAGAAAAAATTCAATTGTCTTTCCAAAATTTTCAATTCTTACAAAATTGTCAATATTGGAACAAAAAAAAAATCGCGGGATGCCACCAAACCTTTTTCTTACGATAAGCCTTTACATAACAAGAGAGCTATGCTCAAATATATGGACACGTAGCGCCACCCAGTTGGAATAATTTTCATGACGTCATAGCGAAAAAAAAAGTAGTAGCCTTCTGGAGAACAATTTTATCTTCAACCACTAAAAATTTCAAAGCAATTGGTTCAGTATTCGAAGAGAAAAGCGATTTCTTCAAAACGTGTCAAAGAACAAGGACACTAAGAACAACAACAACATAATATTGAAACGATCGCTATGTCCACTACGTGTCCAAAAATAAAGCAAAATACTAAGCTACAGAAAAAGATACACCTGAAGTATGTGTACCAGGTTAGGGTTAGGAACTTAGGACAAAACTTTGTTCAGATTTTTCACATTATAGATCTATTATAAGTTCGGGAAGTGGATAGGATTTAGGTAGGATTTACATATTTATTAGTCTTTATTATTTCATCCCATTACACAACTTGATGGGCCGCGGCCCATAGCCTGATGGGCCGAGGCCCATTTCGATGAGCCGCGGCCCCGGCCCATGGGCCGTAGAAGAGTCACCACTCCCACTCGTCAGTGACCGCGACACGCACGTGCGTGCCAACCCCGTGCAACTAACTTGTCCCATTATGGCGTCATTTGGACGCCATTTTCGATCATTCGGGTCGAGTAGTGTAACGCAAACAAGCCTAATTTTAGTAGTTTTAAATAGTTATTGGGGAAGATTTAAATGAGTAGTTATATTCCGAAAGCGCAGAAATCCGATAAGGCGTCCCGTCCCAGTCAGTATCGAACCCAATATGAGGCACTTACATTAACAACCCACGCCGCTCGGTGACAAACAAAATATAGACGCAACACACGGTTAGTAAAGTAAAGTTCATTTCGATTTTTCCGTAACACCAATGACATTAAACAACATGATAGGCAACTCTGACGTCACTCCATAAGACTACAGGCAAAACATTGTATTTCATGATACGCTCCAATGCACATATTTCTCGTCGCCTTTCGCGTCCGTTTTCCGCTCGCTTTTGCTACTCGGCGTCTTTTTTACGTGTAGTACCTGCCTTTTTGCGCCTGTAACGAAACAAAATAATCTCTATATCTAAGAAGTTTTGCTTACTTGGAAAGCTGGAATAACAGGCAAGCTGTAAAGAGCAATTCTGGACATCATAGACGTTTTTTTTTATCAGAGAAGATTACAAACGCGATAGCGGAAAGATTTGTGTGGAACATTTTGCAGATAATGACAAAGTTCAAAGTTAGTAATTTTAATGTTTGCGCTTAATCATTGAAATTTCATTTAAAGAGGGTGTCATACAAAACTGTGCTACGATACAATTCCATAACACAAAGTTTGCACCTATCGAACTTGCTTTTGTAGGTGAATTTATTAGACATATTACATATTCAGTTAATCGTAGGTAACATTGCTGGTACATAATGCATCGTAGATAGGCTTGTTTAAATTTAGGAATTTAGCTCATAGCCCACTAATTAATATTATCTTCTATGCAGGAGGTTGCAGGGCTGAATTCAACTTGCAGCCTTACCGATCACCTGACGATGCTCATTTAGTTTGGCTCGAGCAAGTCTTCTTGAAATGCTTGTGTGAATGGAAACTACCTATATTTTTTGCCTTCCTCCGATTTTAGACAAATTTATTCTGAGGGATTTCGCATATAATTCTCACTGATTGTTGGCTGTTTATAATTCCTATTGATTGTGAATTCTGATTATAACAATGAGTTGAAAATTTTTTTACCTAATTTACTGGCACCTTTTTCTTGTCAATACTCCAAGCTGAGGTAATAAACATGACAATACATTTATGTCATCTGGAAGCAAAATATGCACACAAATTAATAGTTTGGCACATTGAGATAATACATCATGACAGAAAATACAAGTTAAAGATATGTATGACCATCACATGGTAATTAAAATAAAAAAAATTAATAGGGGCTGTGGAGTATGGAAAGTTCAAGACAAAGAAAAAAACAAATGTTCATAGCTCATGAACTCTCAATTTTGCCTCCACTGCTTTGTGAAGGCCAATATATTTCGACTGGCTGAATTGTATTACCTTTATGATAGCAACGATTTTGTATTTAATATAGCGAGATTATTTCAATTTAATTGAAGTGATATAATTTCCCAAAGCAATGCTTGAATCGTCTAGAATAGATCAGTGGTGTCAAACTCATGGGTTTTCGAGAGCCGCATTGCATTTTGAAATTGTAAAAAGAGCCGCAAACAGTTTTTGATAATGTATACTTAAAAGATATTTTTAAGATAGTTTTAGTTTGTGACATATATTGTGATGCAACTAAACAGTTGGATTAAGTTTTATTATTTTCCTTAAATTTCGAATGCAATTACATATTAATATTTTCATTCCACTATTATTGCAACATTTGCAAGTTACAGTATTTATTATAAAAAATCGTAAAATTCTATGTACAACCATCAAAATCATTTTTGAACAAGCTTTGAATAAGGAAAGAATAATACATACACTAAAAATAACTTAATCTAAATATATGAACCTAAAATTAACAAAAATACTACAGTATAAACTCAATGTTTTAATAATTACATTCGTCCTGGCGTTTGGCATCTTTTTTGTGTCACCAGCATACTAAGGCCAGTCTGAAATGATTTTATAGTACCAACTCTAACTAACGAGGCCACATGATCATGGGTTTATCTGGATCTTTACGAATGTTTAATTAATTCCAGTAATGCAAAAAAGTTACTTTTATCATTTCATGTATAGATCAGTAAAAAAACAAATGACAGATTTTTTCGACAAGACATTTCGCACTACCTTGCGTGGCATAGGATTGTTCGAATTATTATTGATATTGATTTTTAGTAACTAAGTCGTTGTATAATTATATTAATATACAAACACATGGAAATTTTCTGTTCGAAGTTGGTCTTCGAATTTGTCATATTGACTGCTGAGCTTATTGTGTTTTTTGATTGTATTGAAGGAAATATGACAAATTAAACAATGTGCTTCAGAATTTTGTGAAGAGCAGAAATGTGACAACTCCCATTTTCTTCGAAAATGCCACCTTCTTCGTGTACTTTGCGTTTAATTTAATTACTCAAGTGTTTTATTCAAGTATTCTTTTGCTAGCTTGATGTGTATTCTTAATTGGGTCAAAATGTCATGAATGATGATTATACCCCTTCCGGAATTTCTTCTATAGTACTACCAAAAGTTGATGAACCAAATATAACACAGGTGCAGTGAGGTACCCGTAATCCTCATTTCCAAAGCTGTTTTAAGTATGTCTGGCGTGTTTTGTGCCTTTTTACAAATAAGACCGCTTATGCAATCTTACGCTTTGGAATTTTTAGTTATTTTCCTCAAGCCCTGCAGGATGTGGGGGCCATACACAACTCTACCGGAGGGTCAAATGTCTTTGCATGCCTCCATAGGTTGTTTTTCTATTGCAATTTTCTATTTTCAATTGCATTATATTTCTTGGAATCACACTGTCACTGATATGTCGCCAGACTTCTGATATCTCCCCGTCTGCTATAGTTGTCCTGTGAATAAATAATAGGAAATTGAGATTAGACGAATAGTTGAAAGTTTTGGTTTATGTCGGCTTAATTTCTTGATTGATATACTTACTATTTCTGCTATTGCCTCTTGTGCTGCAAGAGTCTCACAATGCTTAGACAGGTTTGTCCACAACTTTCACATCTGAAGAAAGAGAGGAGATTTATTAATTTTCGTTAAGAATAAATAAAGCAGTCTATATGATTCAGAATGGAAAAGCTAATAAATCCAATATCTCATGTTTTATTTAAAAAATATTTTACTGAATTTGGAAAATAAACCAACTAATAAAAGGGTTTAGTCAGAAAATTACAAGCATTCGTGGCTCCAAATACTTGAGAAATCAGACTATAAAATATAGACCGGTATGAGTGAAATGTTAGGTGAACTTGTTAACACTTTGATTCAATACGCAAATAAAAGTGAATGCGTAATAGTATGTTACAATGAGCAGCAATCAACAATGAGTATATATCCTCACTGATTAAAAAAATCTAACTGGAGGTGCATGAACTATTTGAAACCATAAGGAGTAAGTAAATATGTAATTTCGGCAAATGGGCAACTACGTACCGTACTGAATTAATAACTTCGTAGTATTTGACAAAGGCTGGCTTTCCCACATGTACTTAACAGTGCGATGCCCGGGTGTGATATACAACAATAGTATTCACCTTACCTTTTACCGATTTCTTTTTACCCCAACTTTCAAAAATATCATTAAAATCGACAACAACTGTCAAAGCAGGCACGAACACCATTCGTGCTACGCCTTGAAAGCAGCACACATCCGCTCGTTTTCGTCTCGTCAAGTATGTGCATTGGAGCGTGCTATCGAATACGATCTTCGGACAAAAATGCCGGAGTTGCGCATCATGTTGTTTAATGTCATTGGTAACACTAAAACAAATGGGCAATGTGCAAGTCGACACACCCACACACATATAGCCTACGGAAAAATTGGAAAATCTAAAATTATTCCAGACTAGGGCTATCGGCCGTCCCCGGAATGGCCGGGACAGTTCCGGAATTGACGTCTGGCGCCCCGGGCCACGGTTGTCCCGGAATTTACTGACAACCAGGGCGTTCTGAAATAGCTTGGGCTATTTTTGGCTTCTGTCACATTCGAAATACCCTATTTCGCCATGTGGGGTCCCATGTTTGGGGTGTTTCAACCACAACAGCAGGCCTAAATGACTAAAACGAACTGAATTTTTGACAGTAAAGACGACGTCAAATGAGATATTAAAACTGTCCTATAGCCAAATGTTGTTGGCAATGTTACATTAGAAATTTGCCCTTTCCAGACGCTGTTTAGTAAGATTACGGTCAAATTCCCCAAAGAACATTCTACTGTTCTATGTCAGCTGCGAAATACTGGGCTCGGCGTGTGGCGCATCGTGCTAATCGTTGGGAATACGCTCGCCACCTCATCTCTGATTACCCTTCGCGGGATCGCAGGTTCGAATCCCATGCGGGGATGATCATGTGCGAGAGGATTGCTGGACTCCTCGCCGCCGTAGGGTGGTTCACGCAACCGCTGGTCGGTTACGGCTTCCTCCACCATCAAGTCATTGCTTCCGAATACAAATAACTGGCTAACTAATCCCATACCTGACCTGGTAACCGGACGAGAGGCCGTGGTTCGCCATATGATTAAGCCGTCTTTTCGGCTTTTCTCTCCCCGGGATAAACATGTAAATCCTATCCTATCGCTGCATAATTGAATTGTAAACGTCCTTACCAATGGCAATACAACGAAAGAGAGATTTTATTACTTTGTCAACCAAAAAATACACTCATCAATAAAATAGCTACAGCAAATCAAATTGTTTTGGTAGAGATGACCAGTGGCAAAAACAATTACAATAATATTCTAACAATAATATGGGGGGATTCTTAGATAAAAGCGATGTTAAGCATGTGTGTGTTTTTAAAAAAAAAGGGGGGGGGGGGCTCCGCGATTGCATTGGTTAAATAAAACAAAAGCGGCCAGAATAATGTGATGGAAATTTATATTTAACTGAAAACTGTATACGCAGTGGATCAGCGACAAAATTTGGAAGTAATTTGATTGAACAAACATAGAAATGATACTTATCAAATAACAAAGATATGAGGAAAGAACCATTTAATTGATCAACAGTAGCATGTAAATAACTAAATATAAAAAACGTGGAAAAGAAGTGCTATTCGATTGACCAACAATAGAAATTTTAACAATTAAAAAAAAAAGACATGAAAAAGGTACATTAATTTAAACTCCCGCAGTATGTGTACCAGGTTAAAGCTAAGCCCAATTTTTATTCCGACTTTCCTTATCTTAGTTCCATTACAAGGTCGTGTGACTGCTCATGTCACTCAAGCGATGGTGACTTCATATGAGTGCTTATTCGTGAAATTGACTTTAACAAATAATCTGTGTTTTTATGTTCAATTTCAAGTTGCTAAAAAGTTATTTATAATAGGTTTGTAATAATTTGGATAAATAAAAACACAAAAAATAGCACACCTGTGTTACAATGAAAGTTTTATGTTGTTTTATATACCCCAAAAAACAATTTGGGTGAAATACTCCCCCCAATATTCAAAAAATCAAAATCCAAATTTTCTTATGTGGGTTGCGTGCTGTTCTCAGAAAATAATAATCAGAAGCCAGTAACAAAATGTGTGTTACACAGTGTAATGTGGTTCTGGATACATGCAACAGTCCACTCACTGTGCGCAAAGTAGTAACCATCGAAGCGCGTCCTCTACAGTCTTCAATACATCATATGCATAAACAGTAGCCATAGTACTTATGAAGTCAATCTTGAGGCTTAAGCAGCAGTCTCACACTCTTGTGCTGTATATGACCCAACATTATAGGCTTCTGGCACAACTGGTTTGTCCTGGTGGCACCTGGAGTAGGATGTTTTGATCAAACCTAAAACGTAAGTGAAATGATTCATTTCAACACATTCAAACTGACAATTACAGATTACTTTAGCATTCAAAACTTACTGTAGGCTTATTGCTCTTTTTTGAAATTTCATCTCAGTCAATATATTAGCTAATTCAGCTTTTGATGATTTGAATTTTTTGGTGAATTTGGCTCATCGGATATTGTCTATATCCCATTTTATTTTTTTCCATTTATCCGTCCTCTTCGGTTCAAATTGATATTTTTCAAAAATGAGTCTGAAAATGGAATGAGTTGTAGGTTATAAAATGAACGTACTTTTGAAATAGCAAGCGTTCAGCATCCAATTTTTACCACAAAATATAGTTGACAGTGACTTAACTAAACACGCATTCAGTTCAGAAATTCAAAAGAAAAAGCATTATTTCCGAATTGTCCATTCACATTGCTGATAATTACTATGAATTGTTGTGACCGTAGGACTCCAAGCAATCATGACAGTGAATCTTGTACATTCAATGCACTGATTTCTGACATTGCATTACTTAGGATGATTTAAATACAGTTTTCCTAATCTGACACCTGAAGCCAGCGTTTAGAAAATCTTAGTAGTTCAACGTAACTTTTCTGGGCTAACTTTAGTGAGTCGGATCGGCAACGTGATATAAATAATTAAATGTAACATCATCCTAAAACTATGTACAGCCTGCAGATTACTAGCCTGTCTGGTGTCAGTTTGACATTAGGCCATTCGTTTGACTAACCTCACACAACGAACTGCCTGGGCCGGATTTCCAGCCTCTAGAAATATTTTCCCATTTGTTTCTTCTCTCGGCATCTGCTGATAGCTTCAATAGTTGCACTGTTTGCTATTTCCGCTGCAATCAGACGCCGAGTAGCCTATAATTTTATAGCAGAAGGCACCAGCCTAGCCGAGGATCACGCAGAACCGCCGTAACCTCGCAGGCGACATTGATCGAAAATGGCGGCCAATTTCCATTGTTGCGCAACTTAGGTATATATGGGCTTTGGTGCGTGCAACCAATGACTTTAAACAACATGATAGGCAACTCTGACGTCACTCCATAAGACTACAGGCGAAAGATTGTATTTCATGATACGCTCCAATGCACATATTTCTCGTCGCCTTTCGCGTCCGTTTTCCGCTCGCTTTTGCTACTCGGCGTCTTTTTTACGTGTAGTACCTGTCTTTTTGCGCCTGTAACGAAACAAAATAATCTCTATATCTATGAAGTTTTGCTCACTTGGAAAGATGGAATGGCAGGCAAGCTGTAAAGAGCAATTTTGGACATCATAGACGTTTATTTTTATAAGAGAAAATTACAAACGCGATAGCGGAAAGATTTGTGTGGAACATTTTGCAGATAATGACAAAGTTCAAAGTTAGTAATTTTAATGTTTGCGCTTAATCATTGAAATTTCATTTAAAGAAGGTGTCATACAAAACTGTGCTGTGATACAATTCCATAACACAAAGTTTGCACCTATCGAACTTGCTTTTGTAGGTGAATTTATTAGACATATTACATATTCAGTTAATCGTAGGTAACATTGCTGGTACATAATGCATCGTAGATAGGTTTGTTTAAATTTAGGAATTTAGCTCAAAGCCCACTAATTAATATTAGGGCTGAATTCAACTAGCAGCCTTACCGACCACCGGACGATGCTCATTTAGTTTGGCTCGAGCAAGTCTTCTTGAAATGCTTGTGTGGATGGAAAATACCTATCTTTTTTGCCTTCCTCCGATTTTAGACAAATTTATTATGAGGGATTTCGCATATAATTCTCATTGATTGCTGGCTGTTTATAATTCCTATTGATTGTGAAGAGTTAAAAAATTTTTTATCTAATTTACTGGCACCTTTTTCTTGTCAATACTCCAAGCTGAGGTAATGAACAAGACAATACATTTATGTCATCTGGAAGCAAAATATGCACACTAATTAATAGTTTGGCACATTGAGATAATACATCATGACAGAAAATACAAGTTAAAGATATGTATGACCATCACATGGTAATTAAAATTTTATTATTTTCTTCAATTTCAAATGCAATTATATATTAATATTTGCATTCCACTATTATTGCAACATTTGCAAGTTACTGTATTTATTACAAAAAATCATAAAATTCTATGTACAACCATCAAAATCATTTTTGAACAAGCTTTGAATAAGGAAAGAATAATACATACACTAAAAATAACTCAATCTAAATATATGAACTTAAAATTAACGAAAATACTACAGTACAAACTCAATGTTTTAATAATTACATTTGTCCTAACGTTTGGCATCTTTTTTGTGTCACCAGCATACTAATGCCAGGCTGAAATGATTTTATAGTACCAACTCTAACTAACGAGGCCACATTATCATGGGTTAATCTGGATCTTTGCGAATGTCTAATTAATTCCAGTAATGCAAAAATGTTACTTTTATCATTTCATGTATAGATCAGTAAAAATACAAATGACAGATTTTTTCGACAAGACATTTCGCACCACATTGCGTGGCATAGGATTGCTTGAATTATTATTGATATTGATTTTTAGTAACTAAGTCGTTGTATAATTATATTAATATACAAACACATGGAAATTTTCTGTTCGAAGTTGGTCTTCGAATTTGTCATATTGACTGCTGAGCTTATTGTGTTTTTTCATTGTATTGATGGAAATATGACAAATTAAACAATGTGCTTCAGAATTTTGTGAAAAGCAGTTTGTTACAACTCCCATTTTCTTCGAAAATGCCACCTTCTTCATGTACTTTGCGTTTAATTTAATCACTCAAGTGTTTTATTCAAGTATTCTTTTGCAAGCTTGATGTGTATTCTTAATTGCGTCAAAATGTGGACAAAAAAAATTAATATTCCAAAACTACTTTCAGTAAATTGTTTTCTGTGTAAATAATCAATTTCACTTTAAAAGGTTTGAAAAATCTATTACATTTAGATAAAAAAAAACTTTCAAAATACTATTACAATTATTGTTAAGCGTTCGAGGGCCGCACTGGAAGTTCTCTGGGGCCGCGAGTTTGAGATCCCTGGTCTAGATTGAAGTTGTCCAAAAAATATATGATAGTATTTTATCATGAATGATGATTATACCGCTTCCGGAATTTCTTCTATAGTACTACCAAAAGTTGATGAACCAAATATAACACAGGTGCAGTGAGTTACCCGTAATCCTCATTTTCCAAAGCTGTTTTAAGTATGTCTGGCGTGTTTTATGCCTTTTTACAAATAAGACCGAGTATGCAATTTTACGCTTTGGAATTTTTAGGTATTTTTCTCAAGCCCTGCAGGATGTGGGGGTCATACACAACTCTACCGGAGGGTCAAATGTCTTTGCATGCCTCCATAGGTTGTTTTTCTATTGCAGAGTACTTTAATTATATTTCTTGGAATCACACTGTCACTGATATGTCGCTAGACTTCTGATATCTCCCCTTCTGCTATAGTTGTCCTGTGAATAAATAATAGGAAATTGAGATTAGACGAATAGTTGAAAGTTTTGCTTTATGTCGGCTTAATTTCTTGATTGATATACTTACTATTTCTGCTATTGCCTCTTGTGCTGCAGGAGTCTCACAATGCTTAGACAGGTTTGTCCACAACTTTCACATCTGAAGAAAGAGAGGAGATTTATTAATTTTCGTTAAGAATAAATAAAGCAGTCTATATGATTTAGAATGGAAAAGCTAATAAATCCAATATCTCATGTTTTATGTAAAAAATATTTCACTGAATTTGGTATATATATGAACCAACTAATAAAAGGGTTTAGTCAGAAAATTACAAGCATTCGTGGCTCCAAATACTTGAGAGATCAGACTATACAATATAGACCGGTATGAGTGAAATGTTAGGTGAACTTGTTAACACTTTGATTCAATACGCAAATAAAAGTGAATGCGCAATAGTATGTTACAATAAGCAGCAATCAACAATGAGTATATATCCTCACTGATTTAAAAAAATCTAACTGGAGGTGCACGAACTATTTGAAACTGTGAGGGGTAAGTAAATATGTTATTTAGGCAAATGGGCAACTACGTACCGTACTGAATTAATAACTGCGTAGTATTTGACAAAGGCTGGCTTTCCCACATGTACTTAACAGTGCGATGCCCGGGTGTGATATACAACAATAGTATTTACCTTACCTTTTTTCCGATTTCTTTTTACCTTAACTTTCTAAAATATCATTAAAATCGACAACAACTGTCAAAGCAGGCACCAATACCATTCGTGCTACGCCTTGAAAGCAGCACACATCCGCTCGTTTTCGTCTCGTCAAGTATGTGCATTGGAGCGTGCTATCGAATACGATCTTCGGACAAAAATGCTGGAGTTGCGCATCATGTTGTTTAATGTCATTGGTGCAACTATCGCTGACCACACAATGGATAGAAAACGCATTGTTAGCGCCGCAGACGTTGCACGCTGGGGTAATCATATTCTGGACGCTTAAACCAGGGGTGGACAAGAGAGAGATTTTATTTCCACAAAACAATGTAAAAAAGGACAATACGGGCAACCTACGAGCCGCGGCCCGGATCTTTATTACGTATCTTCCCTAACGTGGGCGGCGGTGTCGATAGGTGAACGTGCAATTTGCAACTCGGAGACGGTCAACGAATTAGCAATATTCTGGGACATCCCATTGATTTGCTATGCCGGTACGTCTTCCTCCACCACCAAGTTCATGCCTTTGAAACAAAATGCTCGCTAACTAATTCATTACCCGACATGGACTGGTAACCGGACCAGAGGCTAACGTTCGCCATTTGATTATGCCGTCCTATTGGCTGTTCTCTCCCCATATGTAAATCCTACTTTTTGTCCCGTTCGCTCGTTAATGTAACTAGAAAATAAGTTTTCCGAAATTTTTGAATTCTCGTATTCATGACTCAAATTTTTCGAAATGAACGATAGAAAATTAAATAATCGGAATAATTGGAAAATCTTGCCACCCAGTGACGGAATAAAGAAATATCCCCTGTTCTTCCCACTGAGGTGGTTCTTCCCCATTAGACCATCCTCGAATATTTTAATTGCAACGGGACTGCTTTCTTTATTTAATGATAATGGAAGTGGAAAGTTCTAAAGATGAAAAATACGCACGTTTCATGGAGATACAAAATAATCCGAGATGGTATATATTTGTCACGTAAGTCGATGATTGATCAGTTTGGAAATTTAATCACCAATTTTTAACAAACATTAGAACATACCGGTAGCTTTCAACCTGAGATTTCAAAGTAGTGAGTACACCAGTACGGTACCACAAATTTTCGGTTTGCTTCTTACAATTGCCATATCTGCTAGCCCAAATGTCTGTACAATTGACTATATTACACGAACTTAACTTTTTGTTTTTTAATATTTATGGGAAGGTGTGCATGCCACACATCAGTCTTTAGACCACTTGTGCCTGCAGAAATTTATAGATATAAATTGGAAAAAATTATTATGCTACGCACACTAGAAGTATGTTAGCTACAAAACTATGTGAGACCCAATTTCTGTTGAAAATATCAATAAAGTAAGGAATCGTTGGCTGAAGTAAATGGCTATTGCATTACACGGTTAACAGTGGCGTAGCCAGGGAGGTGGTTTTGCGGGTCAAACCCCCCCCCTCCTTTTGAAATGTAAAAAAAATAAAATCAATTTTCTGTGTCATAGATAGCAATTTTCCGTAACTTGAAATGCTTCTTAGACCACCAGGACTACTAAAACACGCGTATACCAGAGTTCGATCGGACCTGCAAGCTGTTTCAATCTAACTTACCAAAAAAAAATTCAAACCCCCCCCTTTGAAAATTTCTGGCTACCCCCCTGCACGGTTACATGAAGTGAAACAAGTAGACAGATAATCGTTATAGACGCTAGTTATTTGTAAATAAATTATTATTGATTCATAGTGTTACATAGAGTTTTGAACATTCATCCCAGTAACCAAGTCTA